TTAGTTGTAATATTTTTAAATAGTAGTTTGAAATGCATAAAGTCAATTTGGTAGTACAACTTTAACATACCAATGGCAATCAAGTCACTATGTGTTGTGTTCATCCTAAGTTGCCTGTATCAAACTTCTCTTATACAGTTTCTCACGGCGTCGAATCTTTCATGCATATGTACATACATCCAGTCCGAGGTCTTTGTGGATGTTAAGAATTAACAATGTAGGTAGCGAAGACGGTATAAACCATCTGCCAAAGGCATGTACAAATGCACTCAAATGTAGGAAAACTCCGTCATACACAGTGCCTGACTTCTTTACGCCACGGGCGAGTGACCGTGGACAGGTGTGGTCAAGGCAGTGGCTCAAGGCCTGTCTGTGCCTCGAGGGAGTTTACCCCGCTCCGCTCCGCTCCGGGGGAGTTTACCCCGCTCCGGTAGGGTAGGACTTCGGCGTTGCGCGTCTGAGTGGAAAACAGCAGGCTGCAGGGCTGCCGCCCCGGGACTAACGCGGCGCCCTGAGAAGACGCCGCTGGCCGCGGTGCTGAACTCGTTCCCGGGGCCTCCCGGAGGTGGGCGGGCCGGAAGGGGCTGGGTGGGTCGTGAGTTCGCGGGCAGCCGGCAGTCTCACGTCCTCAGGTGTGGGTTCCTGGCTCTGGGCAGGAGACAGGCCACATCCTGGGGAGTCACCTCGCAAGTGTAGAGGCGGCCTCCGACGCATTCCCAAGGGTCGCACCTCCTATTTCTCAACAGCAACCACAATAAGGGCAACGCAGCCCGTATTTATATATTGAGTGTCTACTGTGTTCTCAACACTTGACATCCACTCCCAGTGGTCCTCACAACATTCACGCAATTCAAGACAAAGAACTAAAGCTCAAAGGGTTGAAGACTTTGCCCAAGGAAAGGCAGCCGAGGTTTACACCAGACAAAAGTAATCTCTCATGTAGCATAGCCCCTACCACCGCCAAGTGGGGAGTGTACTGGGAGTCGGGACAGGGTTTAGTCACACACTTTGCCCCTCTGTGCTCAGAAGTCCAAACCGGGTGGGAGAGCCAACTCTAGTCCCCGAGCTCCCATCTCGCTGTGTGACCTTGGACAAGTGGTCACGCCTGTGAACCAGCTTCTCCGCCCTAACACCACCACGGGTTCTAGCACTGCGTGAGCCTCTTCCCAGGTGCGCACCTGTCTCTTCTGGTCCTAATACAAACATATGCTTCTTCTTTATCTCTCCCTACTTCTCTTTCCCAAGTGCAGTTGGGCACACTCGCTTTTTCTCCCCACCAGGTCCACAGCCAACTCTAAACTCTACTTCTTGTCGAGGAGGAACTCAGGTCCCGGCTGATGTAGGCCTCCTCCCCGCCGCTACCACCGTCCCCGACCCGCACGCCCGGGTATGACCTGCCCTTGCCGGCCACACTAGATGGCTGCGCGCGAGGCTTGGAAGAGAGGCTCCTCGCGCTGCGGGTTCGCAGCGTCTGGTCTCTGCGGTCCCCATGCGCCCGGACGCTTTGGGAAGTGCGAGATGGAGCTCGAGAGAGAACGCCAACGTGAGGCAGAGCTGAAAGGACTGCTTGGGTGACGAGTACGTGTGTGGGCGACTTGAAGCTGGGTTGGGAGAGAGGGATTTTGCGGGAGAGGGTGGGGGAAAGGGGAGGTGCCAGAGAGAGAGAGCAGTGGTCACACTCTCTCCCTGTCCCCACGCCCTCATCTCCCTGGGCTTCTGCCTCTCACTTTCCTCCCCTTCTTCTCCAAACACCCTCCCTGCGAGCCCGCTCCAGCTCCTCCCTCGCACTCTCCCGCGCCTGTGGGGACCTCCTTGGGGACGAACTCGGCCCAGCCTCCCAGCACAGTCGCGTCCCAGCGCGCGTTACGCTGAGCCGGCAGCATGTGGAACGCGACCCCCAGCGAAGAGCCGGGGCCCAACCTCACGCTGGCCGGCCTGGACGCGCCTCCAGACAACGACTCGCTGGCCGACGAGCTGCTGCCGCTCTTCCCCGCGCCGCTGCTGGCGGGCGTCACGGCCACCTGCGTGGCGCTCTTTGTGGTGGGCATCGCGGGCAACCTGCTCACCATGCTGGTGGTGTCGCGCTTCCGCGAGCTGCGCACCACCACCAACCTCTATCTGTCCAGCATGGCCTTCTCCGACCTGCTCATCTTCCTCTGCATGCCCCTCGATCTCGTCCGCCTCTGGCAGTACCGGCCCTGGAACTTCGGCGACCTGCTCTGCAAACTCTTCCAGTTCGTCAGCGAGAGCTGCACCTACGCCACGGTGCTCAGCATCACAGCGCTCAGCGTCGAGCGCTACTTCGCCATCTGCTTCCCGCTGCGGGCCAAGGTGGTGGTCACCAAGGGCCGGGTGAAGCTGGTCATCCTGGTCATCTGGGCCGTGGCCTTCTGCAGCGCCGGGCCCATATTCGCGCTCGTGGGGGTTGAGCACGAGAACGGCACCGACCCTCGGGACACCAACGAGTGCCGCGCCACCGAGTTCGCAGTGCGCTCCGGCCTGCTCACGGTCATGGTGTGGGTGTCCAGCGTCTTCTTCTTTCTGCCTGTCTTCTGCCTCACCGTCCTCTACAGTCTCATCGGGAGGAAGCTGTGGCGGAGGAGGCGCGGCGACGCGGCGGTGGGCGCCTCGCTCAGGGACCAGAACCACAAGCAAACCGTGAAAATGCTGGGTGGGTCTCAGCGCGCCCTCGGGTGCCTCTCCCGGGTCCTCCCCTCTCCCGGTGCCTTCCCCCTGCTCCCTCGAGCTTCTGTCTTCATTTTTCCCTTGAGTTTCTCTCTCCCTCTCCTGTTTCTCTCGATCTGTCTCTCTGTATGTCTCAATTATCTCCAATCTTTCTCTCTCTCTCTCTCTCTCTCTCTCTCTCTCTCTCTCTCTCTCTCCCCCCTCTCTCTCTCATCTCAATCTTTACCTCCCCCCCCACTTTGTCACTGTCTTGGCTCTCTTTTGGTGTTTCTGTCTCTTTGTGTCTCTTTTTTCTTGTCTCCCCTTTCTCTGTTTCTTGGGAAAATACCCCACCTTTATATTCCCCTAAAATGAATTTATATCAGCCCAGAAACTTGCTTCATAAGGAGATGGCGGGAGCACAGCGAGGATGCTTGGAGAGGAAAGAGAGGGAAGTGAGGGATATTCCGTAAAAGTCTATTGTGCTCTTGAAGTGTTACAGCTGCAGTTATGTTTCCCGCCTCAAATAGAATTGGTGGATATCTAAGCTACATTAAGAAAAGCAGGCATTGTATCTAGAAAGTACTCAGTGATAAGTTTAACCAAAGACACTATCAATTTGGAGAATTCTATTAGAGATCATTCAGGTTTTTTTTTTTTCAGTATTGTGTTTGTCTGCCCTGCATTTTTTTCAGTAATTGCATCAATTCTGTTTACCCTACTACTGTTTACACAGCTTTGTAAGGATGTCAGTGACAAATCAATGCTGGAGTGTTTGTTTTCATGATTACTTGTCTCTCCAGGTAGGATAGACTAGGATAAGGTAGGATAAGCTAGGATAGGCAGGATGCCAACAAGAGAAAAGGAGACTTTGTGGAAGCCGACAGAACTTACTAACTCCTCTCCAAATGGTCCTTCGTGAACATCTGGGTGCAGTGCACGGATTCACCTCCTTTAAGGATATGTGTTTGGTGCAAGTAAAATAATACAATATGTGTTCACATTCAAGCAAAACGTTAATGCTATTCACTTTTCCAAAACCAGGGTCTGTGTATTTTATTATTTGAACATTATGGTCAACATTTCATACTTAGTGGCATATTTAATGCTTCTTAGAAGCCAATCCAGGATGATTTTATATTTGCAATTTTATAAATCCTGGATCCAGTATATTAAAGAGTGATATAGTTATTTGAGGAATGTCAAAAGATTTTATTTTCTAGACCAGTGATGATGTAATTCATAGATTGGAAACCTACTAGTGTCCTCCAAGAATTCTAAGTTCTCACTTATGAAATTCACTTCGCTACTGTGGCAGTTAAGTTGCTACTGTACAACTTAGTTTTGAGGATAAGTTTAATAATTTCCTTTAATTCTATTTTTAAATCATTAATCTCTTCCTTGGTGTCTTAACACCAATGTTAATTTTCTTCTTTCTTGACAATTTAATTGGGATCACTAAAGTAGTACAAGGACTAAAATATTATTTTCTCTTATTTTCCCTCTGATTTCTGAATTTTAAAAACAATCTAAAAACTTTAGAAGTCTTGAAAAAATTACCTTATATCATAGGCAAAATTAAGATTTGGATGGATGATAATTAATATTAGCTGATTTAATGGCCTTTCATGCCTTACTTATGTCTGTTGTAGGTGGCATAGAATCATCCATCTCAGTGGTTCTTAATCCTGACTGTACATTCAATTCTCTGTGAAATTTTTTTTTTTAAAAAGAAAAAGCAGGTTTCTTGGTCTCTTTCCTAGAGATTTTAATTTAGTGAGTCTATGTTACATCCAAGGAATATGCATTTTTTTTAAAAGTGCCCCAAGAAAGTGATACACAGCTTTGGTTGAGTGCAACCACTTTACCTCGTAGATGTTTGTGTCTAACACATAAAGTGGTGGACTGTTGTGAATAAATTGTCTAGTTAGGTGAGTCAACACGTCAGCTCAATCACAAAATAACTCAAATAGTTGTTAAATAGAAATGGCTGAGAAGCTCAGTAAAACTTGTTGAACTGTTGGTTTGGACAGACTCAATCTTTGTTAAAATGTAGAAATGGGGAAGTGCAGAACAGTGTTTTTCTGAAGTCAGTGGTCATGCTATACATCATCTAAACAAAGCTAAGTCTTAAAAATAGAATGTGATTTGCTATGACATTTCTTGAACTGACGATCTCTCTCCCATTGTCCTTTTAGCTGTAGTGGTGTTTGCTTTCATCCTCTGCTGGCTGCCCTTCCATGTAGGGCGATATTTATTTTCCAAATCCTTTGAGCCCGGCTCCCTGGAGATTGCTCAGATCAGCCAGTACTGCAACCTCGTGTCCTTTGTCCTTTTCTACCTCAGTGCTGCCATCAACCCCATTCTGTACAATATCATGTCCAAGAAGTACCGGGTGGCAGTGTTCAAGTTGCTGGGATTGGAACCCTTCTCCCAGAGAAAGCTCTCTACTATGAAGGATGAAAGTTCTCGGGCCTGGACAGAATCTAGTATTAATACATGATTGAGCACATTGCTGAGCATAGTCACCGCTTGTTATTCTAAACCAGAAGCCATAGCACAAGCAGAACTTGGGAAGAAGATGAAGGTTCATTTTGGAATTAGGGACACATAGATCTGGAAACAACTGGGGGGAAAGAAAAGACATACTCTGTAGGGTGTGAGCAGTTTGACTTGATTGCACACTCATCAGTGCTCTCATACACTATTCCTGCATTTTCACCACCATGATTTTGCATTCTGCTGCTGGTGCTGGTGAGGGCTTTGCAATTCAGAGAAAGAAGGAGGTGCAGAGTGGGCAATTAGGACACTTCCTGGTGGGGAAATACTAAATCTGATTTGCTTTTTCATAATGATCAAAATTATTTGGTTAAAAGAATGACATTAAAGTAAAACATATAAAACATAACTGAAAAAATAGCAATTTTCATAAATCTCTAGAGTAGTGCTGTTCAAGAGAAATATAAAGCAAGGCACATAAGTAATCAGTGTAAAAATTATGAATGAGAAATTTCCATTCTTTTTTTCACACTAAGTCTTTGAAATCTGATATATTTTTCACACTGTCCACCTCAATTTGGACATTAAGTTTTCATTAGAAATACTTGATGTATTTAGGTTTCATAAAATTTACAGGTGAAAAAGTATATTCAACAACTAAGTTGTCTAAATACACTTAAAAATTTTCCAATAACTAAAACAACTATAAGTTTTTAAGCATAAAATTAATTAAAATTAAAATTCAGTTCTTCAGTTGCACAAGTCACATTTCAAGTGTTTAATAGCCAAAAGTGGTTAGAGATTACCATATTGAACAGTGCAGCTCTGGAGAATATACCGAATTCCCATTAATCTTACACAAAATAGATACCCTATCCATGGAATTTTTTTAAAGTGAAATTAGCATAGCAGAATTTCAGAGTGATAAATCCTAAAAATTACATCTAAATGCCCTACTCTTCAAGATGGGAAGATAATGGATAGGAAATGTATATGATACATTTTTAAATTAAGTTGACTCAATGTGTTAATATTCAGAAAATGAGACTTAATAAAAAATGTATAGGTAATCACAAACTGCTTAACAAAAATACTTAAGCCAATCATAAGGCTTTGATTTGCAAATAAGGAAATAGTTTATAACTTACTCTGGCAAGCTTAAAGGAAACTTAATGAACATAGACATTTTTCAAATGGTGAAGACAGGCACATGTGAAAAACACAGAATGTCCTAAATGCTACTGCTTTTTAACATCCAAAACTTTTAAGAATCTTATAGCCATTTATTTTAAAATGCGTATGCCATGTCCTGTCTCCAAATTAGTTTTGCTATTTACATTCCATTACTTATCTGATAGATATGTTTAGATTTCCAGTTTCCCTCTTAATCATAATTACGAATGAGTAGATACCTTCAACTAAATATGATACATTTTGGCGATAAATCTAAAATTTTACTTAATATTGACATTGTTCCCTGAATAGTCAACCCTTTGCATAATATATTTATTCCAAAAATTGTCTCTTTATAATCCTGTACAATGCTAAGTCATATAAGAAGTTTCTATTAAATTTATTGGTTCAACTATAGAACGGATTGAGCCATTTAGGGAAATTACTGTCATAATTGCTTTTCCCCCCACCGAAAGGAAAGATTATCATGATGAAATAATTGATTGACTATTTATTTTGGAAATATCAAACCACAACCATAATTAGAATTATTTCTCTAGAGAGATATTTCTGAAATTCATTTTGACACTAAAGCTGTACCATCAATTTGATCTAAATGCAGAACTTTAGCAAGTTGATTATTTGGTTAATTCTTAGGAATACATCAATATATTTAAAAAGTACACTGACATTTAAGTAGGATAGTAATTAGGGCACTCAGCAATATTCTTCTTAAGAGTGCCCAGTAAATCCCAAAGAGGTCATTCAACTCCCTGAAGCTTTAGAATTTCTATCTACAAATACATCCTATTTGAGAGAAAACAAGCAAAAAAGCTTGACCTCCATCACACAGTTGATTGCTTTGGAGAAAAACAAACGCAACTTCAAATTAGTTGCTTAACCTGTTCAGCAACAGGGTTTGTTTCTGCGGTCTCGGCCAAACTCACTTCCAGGGAACAGCTCACATAGCAAGGACCACTACTTTCCTTCACTGGTGTTAATCTAGGAACTCAGAGGATATATTTAGAGAAAGGGAACTTTAATTTGTCATCTTATACCTTTGCCTTTTCATGGTTTGTAACTTCTTTATATTATCATACTCCACAAATTGTTGAAGACTCAGGGAAAAGAGGAATTTACACTGAGGAAAACTATTTCTAAAAGTCCATCATTTCCCAAACATTTTGTGTGTGCCTGGTATGTTTTAAACTCTAGGAATTAATAAGCCACAGATTTTATTCTTTGTGAGCTCACAATCACTTGTGTGTTATGTTGCAGTAGGAAACTGATTAATTACCTTTAAATTATGAAGTAAACATCTCCAGTTGACACTGGACCAAATTGTTCCCCACCGATCATCCCACGGTGTTGTTGCATTAGGTTCAAAATAGATTTGAAATAGCCTGTTCCTACATGAACCAGTCAAATACACAGACACAGTGAATGTGTCTGCTGGTGGTAATCACACTTACATCATTCTTTATTAATGTAGGGGAAGTAAAAGATTTGGTTTATTTTTTTAAATTGACTGTGTTTTCATTTTCCTGGTTGTCCAGCAATGAAGGTTTCTGTCACTACACCTTATACTGTGTCACAAAATCAAGGGTTGGACCGTTTTCATTATAGGAAGTAACTGTTAGTGAGCAAGAACTTTTTAATAATTGCTTTAAAGAAATCATTCATTGCCAGGGGTTATTTAAAATCAGAAATTTTGAAGTAATGAAGGTTGGAAACACTTCTAGCACCTGGACACACTGTGAAGACCATTTTATAGTCAACTTTTTATTGCAGTGAAGGTTGTTATGGGATTTGACTTGAAATTCCAGTTTTATTCATGCTAATGCTTTTATTAAGAACTTAAAATCATTACAATTTGCAATTTTTAGGTCACCATTGACAGTTCTAGCCTTTTTATTTTTTTGCTATTTTTTATTTATCCACATACTTGAATTTAATATTTTTTTAAAAACTGAGATTTTTTGTGAGACTGGTGCCTAAAAACGCTCTCTTGTCTTCTAAAAATGTGTGTACATCTTTAAAATGTGATATACATATTTACATATGTCAAAATTTGTCACAATGTCAAGTGAATAGAATAGAGCTTTCTGCTTTCAGAAATACTGTATCTAATGTAAATAATGTCATTAAAGGATAAAGATAATGTCATTAAAAGATAAATGATGTCAAATATGGTTTATTAGATAATGATTCTCCTGTGATTTCTTTGCAATTTAAATTACAACACTAACCAGGATATATACAATTGTAACAAAACTAGGTAATTAGAGACCAATGTTAATTTAGTGAATTGATAACATAATTTTTTTTTATTCAAAGAATGAACTGCTAGTCAGAATCAACAGAAAGCAATGTGCTGGTGACAGACGCTAACTGCTTTAAGCTCACATTATTTATTTATTCAAATTAAATGAATTCAGTCTTGTTAATTCTTGGCAATAATCTAAGATTGAAGCAGGTGAGTGGGAGGGCTTGGATGAGCCTTGTTTTTGTGTTTTTCCTTTTGAACTCAAACTCTTGCAGGAGGCTGGAGGCTAGCTAGCCATTTTGGTTGACAGAATTATCATCTTTTAAAAAAAAAAAGGCTGCCATATCCATGCCCTCCCAATTGTCTGAATATTTGCTGGAATTCCAATTAATATTTTATGCTGTGACATAGTATATACCATTGCTCAAGGGACTACCAAGTACCCTCAAAACTGGCAAACCAATAAAGCCCTCAAAATGCATGCCTCATGTAAATGCTCAGAAAGTTCCTCCAAAATGTTTACAAATATTCTTTTCAGAAGAACTCTCTCTCCCAGCCACAGAGAAAGCATTGGGGAAAGATGGTTGAAAGATTTCCTATCGTTTTAACATCTCAAATCCAAAACATTTCTCCGCCTCAAACAACAAAAGCATTTTAATTTTACTTTTAGCACTATAGGTTTAGTATACTAGAAAACACTTGCTCATAAAAATATATCCAAACAGTGTAGTCCCCTGTTTCACTGACGTATGGTGTATTCTAGGTCTGTCTTATAAAATTTAATCCTTGGTCTATTTGTGTTGTTATAATGTGTCATAAATGTCACTGATGATATTGTGATTTGCAGTTCTTTTTATTTAAGGTATTTGTGAATGTTAAAGAAGAATTTATATAGCTCTTATGTATTTGTCTTATAAAATTAGGCATAAGTTTTCCTTCCTTGGGTGTCCTCAACCAAACAATTGCTTAATAAATATCCTTTTAAAGAATATGACTGACTTCTTTCACTTACAGTTGTAGACCTTGGTATCTGGAGTATTTTACTTCTCTTCTTGTCCTAGACTCAGTTTTATTTTTCTCCTTTTCATTTCTTTTTTTTTTTTTTTTTCCCTTTTTGTCTTTTTTTTTCATGACCGGCAACGGATCGCAACCCTCAGTGTCACGCCCGCACCGGACCGGGACCGGCAACGGGATCACAACCCTCGGTGTTGCGCCCGCACCTCACTCAGCCAGTGAGCGGCCGGTCTGTATGTGGGATCCGAACCCTCGGCGGGAGCGCCACCACACTCCCAAGCAGTGCACTGTAGCAGTGCGCCACCGGGCCGGCCCTCCTTTTCATTTCTGAAACATGTATTTTGCAACTATGAGGAAGTATTTGTTGTAGTGAATTTTATTTCCCCAAGGGCTCCAATATTTAATAATGAGTTAGTCAATTCCTGTAAGTATTAAGAAGAGAAGAGGCCTGGGGTGGACCGTGCTACACTCACCACCTTCCTTACCCTTCCAGCCCATCCCCTCCAGAGCTAACATACCCTCCATGGTGTGACCAAAAGACCACAAGCTCTTTGAGTCAGGGAAATGATTCTCATTCACTTCCATTCAGCAGCCACTCACTGAATGGTGGCCAGACAATGAAGGTTTAGAGACCGGATTATGTGTCACCTGGGTGTTAGCTTCCAGACACATGGATTCCAGGGGCCAATAAAATTTAAAGCTAAAACTGGAAGGTGGTCAATTTTTGTTTGCCAACTGTATTAGTCCATTTCTGTTGCTTATAACAAAATACATGGAACTGGGTATTTTATAAAGAAACCAAAGTCTATTGCTTACAGTTTCTGAGGCTGGAAAATCCAAAGTCCAGGGAACACATCTGGTGAGAGCCTTGGAGGTGGTGACAATGACGGCAGGGTGTCACATTGTGAAAATGGTGGAGCAGAGAGAGCAGAGACTAACTTCCTCATTCACTCTCTTTTTAAAGCCCTCAGAACCACGCTCATGACCACCATTTTTAATCCATTCACTAAGGTGTGGTCCTACAACCTAATCACCTCTTCAAGGCCCCACCTTTCAATGACCATAATAGAATTTCCTACCATTAACAGTTACAGTGGGGGTTAAGTTTTGGGGGGACATTCAACCCATGGCACCAACTAAGGAATTTTAAAATATCCTACTACCCAGTACCACCATCATTTCAACTTAAAAAGAACATTAAAAATAAAGAGTAGAGGACATAATCACAGAATAAAGGACAGTCACCGTATGAAAATTCAATGTAATCTACATAACACAAAATTATACATGTGTGCTGTTAACATGAGTTAATTACAATTTGGAAATAGCACAAACTAAAATGTATAAATAATACTTGGCAATCATTAATAATGCATTAAAGTAATCCAAAGAAGTAAGTCATGGGATTTGTTTGTATTGATCTACTGAGGCCTTTTCCAATGTCTCGGACACCTTCTGTCCACCTCACCATCAGTCAGTTCAGCACCAGCCAGTGCCTTTCAGGCCCATCAGACAGCAGCCCCTAGACCTGACTCTAAGGTCAAAAGAAGAGAGGGCAGCAGGGTCTTGGCAGGTCTCCTATTCTGGGGTCAATCTACAAATGCTGGCTTCTCCTTGCTTCCTGATTCATAACTCACAATCGGTTCCTGATTTCATAACCAGCTTCCTTCAAGGAGCCATAAAATTAACTATAAAGCAAGTCATATCTCTTAAAGAATAGTTTGACGGTATATATGAAATGCTTACAAACTTTGCATATTTTCTGATCCAGTAATTTTATATCAAGACACGATAGTGGAAAAGCACAAGTATTTATCTGTCATAGTGATCATTGCATCTTATTTATAATTGTGAAAACCTGAAAAAAACAAATATCTGAGGATAGGGAATTGGTTAAATAAATTATAGTGATGATAACAGCTAACATTTATGTGACACTTTGTACAGGCTTTCAATTTATCTTCTCCTATAATCTCCCCAACATACAGAGGAGGAGCTTCTGTTATTATCCCTGCGTGTGTGTGTCTTGTGGGGGGTCATTGAGACGAGAAGTTTTGTCAGACAGTCTGGAAATGGCAGGGTTGCAACTTGACCTAGACAGGTTAGATTCCAGATAGGTTTTATTGTCCTTATTTCTCCCATTCTAGAACCCTGTGCAGACATTAAAAATGATATTGTAGTAGCATTTTAATAAAGTGGGTAAAATGTCTATCCAATATTAGTAAGTGACAAAACATATCTTCCCATCTTGTAAAGAAAAAAATACATGTTCACAAAGCAAAAAGACTAAAAAGATACAGCGTACCAAAGTATTAACAGTGTTTCTCTGGTTGGTTGAAATGTTTTCTCCTATTTTTTTCACGGTTTCCAACATAGCTACAATAAATGTGTATTATCC